ATGAATCGCAAAAAAATCCCATTTTGGAAAGTTTTTTTTTTTTACGTATTTGAGGCTAGGCTTGGGTAATGCATGATAGTTGTGCAACTAGTCATGCAGATTCTATAATTTATAATTGTGTAATTAATCCCGTAAACGTTTAGTAAATCTATTCATACGATACTAAATACAAATAATGACGATACTATAGATATTGTAAGTGAATACAGAACTCGAAATTCACTTTGTTGAATCTGAATCCTAAAGGGGTTCACAGATTTATGAAATCAACTTAATAATACGAAATGCACTTAAAGTACCACTTATAAATTACGGAAATCTATTTACGAATTATTTTATCTAGAAATTTGGATGTTAATTTAAAAATTTCTTTTATTTCTTTAGTACTAGACTTTAGACAAGTAATTATAGCACAAAATGACAATTAATAGTCACTTATCGAAATCCAAGCTGGATGAAAATCAAATATGAAAAAGTAAACAAATATCCCTTGAATATTCTATTAAAGATTATGTACTTCTAAAATGAACCATAACAGGACATATGCAAAACGAATTTATCGAGATTAACCATGAGTTTAAGTTACTTTGTACTAAATATTCCAATAAAGACAATAGCCTTATGAGATTTTTTTATCTGTAATGCTTTAAATATTGACAGTTTTAAAATCTTGCTGATGTTCATTCATGTTGACGGGCGCACAAGGAAACCAAGATGTCGGCGGGGAAAAACCGGCTCAATCACCATCCAATTTGAGGAAGGCGCAGGGAGAAGATAAGTGATCAATCAGTTGCCTAATTGGGACATTTCACATGAAGACTAATATGACTAAGATTTATTGTAGGTATAAATGCACGGACGTTAGGGCAGACTGTGGCGGCCCCAGAAAGGATGCAAATTCACACCCGGCCCTCCGAATCCTACCATTTTGCAACCATCCATGTCTACAGCCAGCCTGCGTTACGCAGGTGGGAAACCACCGGCTAATCTTAAGCATCAATCTCAAGCAGCAACAGCTTGACTGCAATAACTCAGGGTCAACAGCAAACCCGCGTATGCGGGTGGGAAACCACTGGCTAACCCTACAAATAGCTATATCAATTATGCATTGAATCACTGATGCATGCTTTATATTAACGCTGAAACAAAGCTAATAAAGTTCAATATCCAGCATTATATGCTGGTGTGCTTCCAAATAAATATGTATCATAAGCGTGCGATTCTGTTCGAAATATTGATATAAGTGTCATTTTATGAATATGGATTACTTGTTTTTTCTCATGAACGTATAAAATAAGTCAAATATATTTTGATTGGTGTGCTAATTATATATATATAATATATATTTAAAACATAAAGTTCTAAGCTGGCTACATACTGATATAACTGATACGTATAGGACTGCTATACTATAATAATTTTAAACAAATTCGAGATAGACATATAACTGATGTTTAAAACTAGCTTTTCTAGCCCTTTTTATAAAATAATTTTATACTATATGCGTAAATAGATAAATTTAATATTCATAAAAATCTGCAATTTCTTGAGTTCTAATAATGAAGACATTGTGCATTGTTTATAAATCAAACTAGAAAAATTATATCTTGGTTAGCTCGAGTCATAACAGATTTTTGAAATTAGATATAAACTATTTGCTTTTCAATTCTGACTTGCAGGCTACAAGGTATTCTCTGTTAAGTCAAATCGTTAATAATAATCATGAAAGAAGTTGCTTTTATATTTTCCATAGTAGTACTTTATATTTTAAATATTTGAATTTTATTTTGTTGTGTATGAGCATATAAAAATTAAAAAAAGTGATTTGTTCTATTGATTTCTATTATGTGTAAGTATTATTTATATGTTTGATTGACATGTAAAATTTTATGAAGTAAGCTAAAGTGATAACTTAATAATCCTTAACTTACACGCTATAGATTTATAATTTATTACACACATTGTTATAAAAAGAATGTATAAAAAATTTAGACGCCTGTTTAGTGATGTGCCACGTACAGTACTATACGTACAGTACTGTACGTACTGTACGTACTGTACGCTAAAATTTTTGCCGATCATTTATTAAGAGGGACCCGGTGCGGTGATATGCAAATTGACCAATCATATTTGTTAATTTGATCAACACAAATATCAGATACGTATTCCGTGTTTTTTTGTCAGATATTAAGTTTTTTTTTTCTTAATATACATATATGATTATATATTTAGATAAATTATAAATTTTATATTTTATAAATATTATTAAATAAAAAATGTGATCCGTCGGCAACCAGTGAAAAAAATAGTAAACTGCGGCGATATGTTTACAATGTAATTTTGCTTTTTTTGGAATCTGGCGTTTCCCTAAAGATAAATCGATTTTGTAATAAGAAAACCTCTTGTATGCATAACAAATGTTGTAGAGGAGGAAAATGGTAGCTGAAACATCGAAATCGGCCTAGTGAATCGTGAGATATAGACATTTTCGTCTTTACGACTATTTTGTTAACATAATATAGTCATGAGGACAAATACGCCTATATCTCATGACTTACTGGGCCGATTTTAGTGTTTCACCTACATTATGCTCGTATTTTTATCCTTCACAACAGTTATTATGCACATAAGAGAGTTTTTTTTAGTACGAAATCGATTGTCCTTAGGGAAATGCCAGATTCTGAAAAATGCGAAATTTATTTAAAATCACCGCAATTCACATTATTTTTCACTGGTTCTAAAATAATTTAATATTTAATTAAATATTGTCGGGGATGAGGCTGAAATTTAGAGTCCCCATTTAAATCTATCATACCTACTAAAATTCACATATACTTTTTTTACTAACAACACTAACCCACCTAACCCTAAAAAAAAACCCCCTAACGAAAAGGCCTGAAAATTTTTTAAAATTTCATAATAAAATAGGTCGAAATTTCAGCATCATCCCCGACAAATATCAATACAATAAACTGCATTTATTAATATCATATACTGTATTGCTAATTGATATAATGAATATTTATTTTAAAATAGATTAAATATTATATTAATTGTAATATAGACTAATAGTAAAAAAATTTAAAATATAACTACTAAAGCAACTTTATTATATAAGTACTATACGTACTGTACGTACTGTACGCTAAAAAAATTTGGACATCATATAAATGGCACATCACTACGCCTGTTATTCGTACCCTCCCTGTATATCAAAGTTTTTTAAACTTTGAGCGATGGTATCTTGACACACTAAGTTAATTTTACTGGACTTTTTTATTAGAATTCTATGAATCTGAGAATTTAAATAAAAAAATATTCGCGAATTTAGCTTGGTGGGTGTTGAGATATCTTTGCTCAAATCTTTAAAAAATCCAGACTGTCTACCAAAATAAGAGCTGCACCAACTTTGAGCAAAGATATCTTGACATCTACCAATCCAAATTCGATGAACTTTTTTTAAAAAACTTGTTCGATCGTAGAATTTAAATAAAAAAAAATTTCATTGAATTTAGCTTGGTAGTGTCGAGATATCTTTGCTCAAAGTTTTAAAAAATTCAAACCGTCTATTAAAAAGAAGAGCTGCGCCAAACTTTTTCTTAAACATTGAGCGAAGATATCTCGACAACCAACAGGTCAAATCCAATGAACGTTTTTTTATTTAATTCTACAGATTCGTAGAATTTAAATAAAAAAAAGTTTAACAAATTTGGCGTGGCGGGTGTCGAGATATCTTCGCTCAAAGTTTAAGAAAAGTTTGGCGCAGCTCTTCTTTTTGATAGACGTTTTGAATTTTTGAAAACTTTGGATGAAGATATCTCAACACCTACCAAGTTAAATTCAATGAAGGTTTTTTATTTGAATTCTACAAATTCTTAGAATTTAAATAAAAAAAAGTTCATCAAATTTGGCTTGGTAGGTGTCAAGATATCTTTGCTCAAAGTTTGATAATTTGGTGCATCTCTTATTTTGATAGACGGTTTTGGATTTTTTTAAAGCTTCGAGCGAGGATATCTCAACACCCACCAAGCCAAATTCGCCGAATTTTTTTTTATTTGAATTCTACAGATTCATAGAATTCGAATTAAAAAAAGTTCAGTAAAATTAACTTAGTGGCTGTCAAGATACCATCGCTCAATTTTAAAAAGCTTTGATATACGGGGGTACGAATAAAAGGAGCCAAAATGTATTCTTAAAATGTTCTTATAAATAAATTTTTATATAACATATGGGACCCCTCGCAGCAAAAGGGGATAGTGGACCAAAGAAATTAATTTTTTTTTATTTTAATTGATTTCTTGAAGAATTAAATTAATAGGAATAAAATTACAAAATCAAAATTTTTGTCCCACTGCCCCTTTTGCTGTGGGGTTCCCATATATAAAAAAATCATGCAATAAGCATAAAATAAAAAAAATATTAATGTAAGCTATACTGTATTAACAATTGCCTCCTTTTTTTCATTCTTCACATTAAATGTAGCAATGAACATCCCTATTACACTTTGCATTGCTGAAGTTGATGTAACCAAAAAATTTAAAGGTATATCACCAAAAAGATAACTTACACTTCTTATTAAAAATAAAGATAGTATAAAGATACACGCTTTCAGAAAATAGAAATTGATTGGCCATTTTAAAAGAATAATCAATGTCTGGAAAATATTGCGTGGATAAAACAAAATACCCAATGTAATTCCCGCTATAAAATCATCATACTGATCAGTATATTTGTTTACAAACCAAAAAATTCTATTAATTAAAATCCACAATAAAATAGAAAACAAATCCAAAAAGCTATATGAATGCCTAAATTTCCTGGATCAGAAGGATATATAATAATAAAAATTAACCAAGATATTGGAATATAAAATGTAGGAAATAAGAATATAAATGTCATGACAATTGCAATACTCTTTGGAATACCATGTCTAAGGAGATCTTTAAGTGTCCAGCAAAATCCTTTGTCTTTAGTAGGAAATTTTCCATATCCAAAAAAATTTAACTTGAATATTTTTGCCAAAAATTTAGAAAGATTGTAAAAATAGAAAAAGTTGCATGTAAACTTATATTTATAAGAAAAATAGGTTTTAAATTAGAGAGATCATCATCATCATAGGCAAAAGCGGCCATTAACGGAATTATCCAAGAAACAATATGGTATAATACATCATCAAGTAACGGTAATGCTATAGCTTTAAATGTTGACACATGGGTTGCATTAATATATGCATTTATTTCTTCATCAAGTTCTTTTAATATTTCATTAAATATTCCTAAAATTTCTTCTTGATTTAAAATTTCATCTTTATCTAAAATCTCTTCTTTACATCTTTAAACTTTTCAAGATCCTGTAATACTATATTTTTAGAAATTAATTTTATGAAAGAGTCTTTAATTATTATTGGAAATATTTAAATTCTCGTCAATTTTGAAATAGGCATTTTTCTTTTATACAGGCTGTCAATAATAATTTTACTTTTTTTATTTAGTCTATATTCACTCTTTTGGGCTTTATCATATTCGACTTTTAGCTCATTTATATCTGAAGAGTCTATAATGCCTTGTATCATTATTTTTGCCTCTTCATGTTCCTTAAGTTCCACAATTATTTCTATCATTCCCTTTCCATCTTTATTCTTCAATCCAACGTCAAGAAATTTCATTAAAATGATTGGAAACAATGTATTGAGAATTGTATCATATAAATCTTGTTGAGTATAAGTATAGTTTACATTCACGATGGACCACATTGCAAAAAGAAAAGTTATTTTAGGCTATACAAAGTTAATAATTGGTTCTCGTAACACAGCCGGGTCAAATTGTTGTAAAAATTTTTATGTTTTAATAACCGAGTGAGTTTTTAATAATTTTTTTTTTTAAAAAAAAGAGCTGGCCGTCTGGATCTATCTAAAAAGTTTCATGTTATGAGAATCAATAAATTAAATTTGCGTGGCCTTACTATGACAATCCAATGTATATTTAATTTAAAAATTATAAGACTATCTAGTCATTATAGTCCTCATAATACATAATTATTAAACAGAATTAGGAATATGATCCGCGTAGACAACTATTATTACTTTATATGACTTATATAAAAATTTATCCAAATAACTAATAATACCCGGGTGAAAATTTTCTCATTGGTCCAACCACCACTCGAACAAATTTTAATAATATTAGCATTATTTATCGACATGTGAAAACTGAATGATTTTCGTGTAACTCCTATCACGAGGGAGTAAAAATTTGTATTTATATTCGGAGATAACTGAAATGAGTCATACAAAAATCATTTAGCGCTTACGTCTGACATGTCGGATAATCCAGTTATCAGTCAAATCATAGTTGATGTTAACTAATTTCTTCACGTTATGACGAGACTTTCGGTAATATTGCAAGCACACAGTATCCTAGTAAATAATCAGTTATTATCTACGACATGACAGATATTATTGTTGATCTTATAATCTGAAAATTTTTTATAATTCATAGAATTAAAATTGAAAATTTTTCATCGATTTTATTAGATAGGTTGTTACCAAACAGGATGAAACGTCGATGTTACACGACTGATCCTTCACAGTGTGCAGCATTTAAAAAAATTATTCCAGGAACGGGTAATATGTAATATTACGAAGTATATACGTAGAGGAACGGAGTGATATGTAATACTAGGAAAATGTATAGCATTATGGTTGAAACGTCACAAAATCGTTACACAATTGATAAACATTTTTTTTATATTATTTTACAATACTTTTTTGAAAGGCTCGCTTGACTTATCTTTTATATAATATTGAAAATAGTTAAACAAACATGAAGCTCTCACTTTGCTTTACAACATATTTTTTGAATCCACTTGGTTTCGTCTTTTTGTAAATTTCGCAATTTGATTGGTTGACTTATACCCTGGTCACTATATCAAAGATCGCAGTGCATAAATCAGTTACCGTATAACCGCGAAATAACGCGCAGGGGTGTAATTTCAATTTTCGGCCTAAATTAAGCTTAATTCGGGCCAAAA